GTCCCCAACCATTTCTGTTCCTTCCAACCACATATACTCCGAGCATTAACCAACTCCACCTGCCTTACCATCTTTATCAGTACATCCCTAACAAGATTAAACAGTTACGGACTTTTTTAGGATCAACAAAATGTTCAAAAGAATTGAAAATTAAATTTTTATAATAACAAACTTCTTGCAGGAAAGAGCCGGTCTTTTCACCTTCATATAAATATTGTTTACTTACTTACTCCGTGGCGTTACAACCCTTCGTGGGTTTTAGCCGACTCGACAACATGCTTTCACTGTTTGCTGTCTTATGCAACCTCCATCCAATCCTCCACGCCCATAGTGCTTAGGTCTCCTGCTATATTATCTCGCCACCGGAGACGAGGGCATCCGCATGATCTCTTTCCAATTGGGACTTCCTCCCACACCAGTCTTACTGTTCGTTTGTCAGAGTATCTTCTGAGGTGTCCTGCCCATTGTAGTCTTCTGGACTTTATTTCTTTTATGATGTTGACGTCTGGGTAAAGTTCTTCGAGCTCTTTGTTCGTTCTTATCCTATATTCTCCTGATCCTTTATCCACCACAGGACCAAAGATCTTCCTTAGGATTTTTCTTTCCCAAACACATCGCTTGCCTTTGTTATCGTCTACGTTTCGCTTCCATACATCACAACGGGTCGTATGATTGTTTTATAGACCTGTATCTTCGTACGTCTTGTTAGTTGTTTCGATTTTATAAGGTTTTGGAGGGCAAAAAGACATATGTTGTCGGCCTGAATCCTGTTGTTTATTTCTTGTGATTCTGTGATGTTCAGACCGATTCTGTCTCTGCTTTGGTTATTGCGGTTCATATACATATATTTCGTCTTGATTTCATTGATTTGGAGCCCCATCTTCTCTGCTTCCTTCTCGAACCTCATGAAAGTCTGCTTAGTCACTTAGCCACGTGATATTATTATAATGAAGATTATCTAGATAGTCATTCCATTTCCAGTTGAACAGCCATTGAAAATAAACGTATGGGCAGGAAGTTAATAGTATATTACATAACGAGAGTTGTAAGAAGCTTATTACATGCGAGTAAAAAAGTTGCGCGCGAGCCGCGTAGCGGCGAGCGCAGTAATTTTACAAGCATGTAATAAGCTTACAACTCAAGTTGTGTACTATACTTTTTCTACCATTATTTTTGTTTATAAAAATAAAAATTAAATTACCACTATATTTACACTGACAGATTAATAATTTTTAATCTGTCAAAATAACGTCTGTTTATTCGTTTCCAAGGTAACTCGACCAACTGACTTACGAGGCTTATGTAATATTACACATTTTTATAAAACTGAAGCGTAAGTTTTTTTATTACGTGCTAGTCATTACGTGTCAGTATCTGTTATGATGCATTTACGTAGCATCCAAATAGTAGGTAATATACAATTTACTAGTAAGAGAGTAGAAAAATTTGTTTATAATACCATAATAAAAGCAATATTTATACTGCCATTTCTGCTTTATTTAAAGAACTAAGATGATGCAGTCTTAGTACATGAATCTAGTCTAGTAAACATTTTGAAATATTCGTCGTAATTTCAAACCGCGACTTTATATTTGTATGAAGGTTGGTATATGTAGGTATATGATTTTGATACCAAAATTCTCCAGCGACATACCAAATAAATGATGTGCCACACATAATATGTTGCCTATTTAAAATTAAAGGTTTGTGGTACTGAAAAAGATGGTGTCCTTAATAATCAATGGCTGCCTCAACAGCTACAAGACGCTCAAGCAGATGATCCATGTATAAAAAGAGTATTGATTTGGATGCGTCGAAGTGAAAGACCTTCTTGGCAAGGCATTAGTGCATGTCGTCCCAAAGTCAAGTATTACTGGAGCCTATGGAATTGTCTAGTGCTAAAATATGATCTGTATAAAACCTTTAAGAATGATTATGGTACAGAAACTAAGCTTCCGTTGAGTGTACCTAAAAGTAAAGTGTCAGAAGTATTGCATCAGATGTATGGCGGTGCATAAGGTGGACACTTTGGTATTACGAAGACTCTACAAAAGGTTTGAGAACGGTTCTATTGGGTGAACTGTAAAGATGATATATGAAGATGGTGCCGGAAATGTGAACTGTGTGCAACCAGTAATGGTCTAGTTGATAAAAAGAGGTCACCCATGAAACAGTACAATGTTGGTAGTCCTATGGAAAGAGTATCAATCGACATTGCAGGTACACTTCTAGACACGAATGATGGAAATAAATACATTATGGTAGCCATAGATTATTTAACGAAATGGACTGAGGTCTATGCAATACCAAATTAAGAAGCTGCTACCGTTGCAGAGGTATTTGTGACAAAGTACTCTTTTGTTGAAGCAAGAGTAACTTGCTAAATTCTTTAGCCGATTTAATTTGCCCTTGTAGATCCACTTCGACCAAGGGTAAAACTTCGAGTCAGCCCTTTTCCAAAACGTTTGTAAATTGATTGGTGTCAATAAGACCAGAACAACACCCCTGCATCCTCAATCAGATGGAATGGTCAAGAGGATGAACCAAACGATGGGTAAACACCTGTCCAAATTTGTATCAGAACATCAAAGAGATTAAGACCAGCAAATTCATTTATTCCTAATGACCTACCGCTCGGCCGTGAATGAAACTACAGGCCAGACTCCAACCTGACTGATGTTAGGTCGTGCAGTTTATTTGCTTACTACCTAGAGCTACAGACCTTCCGAAGAACATGATGCAAGCGAAGATTACGTCGACCGCCTGATGTTAAGAATGAACAACATTTATAAACTTGTCCAACAACTCTTCAAGTTAGCCAGTGACAGAATGTGATCTTGTTTGAAGTAGAAGGTCCGTATGAAATTAAAGAGAGAATAAATGACGTAATATACCGAATTAAGAAGTTGTCGAAAGGTAAACCAAAAGTAGTTCACATAAATCGTCTTACACCAGATGCTGGCACAAATGAAACAGAAGAAGCACGAACCCTTCAACATGAGATCAAAAATGATCGGCCACCAAGCTTTAATAAATTTATGTCAAATTGCGCAGAGAGAAAGAGTGCTAGATTCGACGTAGCCACAGAAGTTCAGCAGGATCTTTTTATTGTTCCGCATAACGTCTCTCTAGCCCACTGTATTGCCCAAGATTTTGAGACGTCTAAAGGAATCTCATCCGTATTTTATAAGAAGTTCAGTCGTTTGGACGAGTTAAACAATCAACAGCCTAAAGTTGAAAGATAACTGTAACTAATTTGAAGAAAATCGTGTGAAGTTATGACATCCAGAATTTGGCCTTACCCAAGATGGGCCATGCACTAGAAAATCTGGATTTAAATATTGTCAGAAGCATGCTTGAACTGATCTTCCGAGAAACCCGCGTACGAATTACTGTGTTTTGCATTAATCCGAAGAGATCGTGTCCTTCAAAGACAGTGGACTGTTATTTTTTTCTGAAGGGTTCATGCAAAGCTGGAGCGTCCTGTAGATTCCGCCAGCTTGGGCCTACATATAGAATAGCTAATCGGGACGCTCATATCTAAGAGGGGAGCAGTGTTACGAACGTGCATTCAGCGTAGTACATATAACGGTTGCATCTCGAAAGCGACGAGAACCTTCCAGATGAATCGAGCGCGGGAGAGATCGACCCATCAAACAAACAAATTAGAGGTGGACTACTCCAGAATATTCTAGTACATAACAACTTCATAACCATAAGTAGTACATAACACTTCATAGTACATAACACTACATAGTACATAATAAGCTGACCTTCAATAAGTTAAGTTTAGTTGATAAGATATTACCGAACTGTAAACTTATAAATAAATATATTTATCTGTAAAACAAATTTGAAACGCAATTCAGATTTCTGCTTTAATCTGTGCTTTCTAAAAATTGCAAAGCAAAACAGACGTTGATGAAGGTGTTAAAAGAGACATGGGGAATTTAAAATTTGCATTCCACGACATATCTTTTCAACTAAGCAGAAATCCTTAGCGAATTGGTTTCTTGTACTCATACAGAGTATATCCGAATAAAATGAAAAAGACATTAAAGATTCGATTTCACTTACAAACCGTCTATGTATCTGTTGATACGTATTTTGACCTAATAGGTCTCATCAGAACAGTTATTCATAGGCGTTCTCAAAGTGAAAAATAAATCTTCCCTGTCTTTTCAGAAGCAACACTAAAATGGCTTCGATATGAAAGCAATAGCGACATCTGATAATAAATCCGTAAAACAAATTCGAAACGCAATTCAGATTTCTGCTTTAATCTGTGCTTTCTAAAAATTGCAAAGCAAAACAGACGTTGATGAAGGTGATGAAGATTTTTTTGGTCCACCTATTATCCTTCATTCTAGCGACGTGTCCTGCCCAACTCCATTTAATTTTGGCTATGTGTATAATAATGTCTTCTACACCACTTTTTCTACGGATTTCTTCGTTTCTTACCCTATCTCGCAACGTTATGCCTAACAATGATATCATTGTATTGAAAATAAATATACCGAGATCATGACAAATCTTGTAGTCAGCAAAGATATATGTATAGGAACAAGACCCATAGACCAGGTAATGGCCTGTAAATACATAGGTCACTAGAGTCTCATAGTAAAAAATAACCAAATAGTTGAGCTTCTTCGTCGTATAAGACTATCCGACATGCCAATATGTACTAAAAGAAAAACCTTTGGTCAGTGTGTTAAGCCAGTGTTAACTTACGGAATAAAACCGCCAGCAAACCTACAGCTACGATAAAGATCAGGAGTAGGTGATGCTGACATTATCATCTCCGAAGAGATCAAAAAATTTATTTTATTAATTTTAAATCTATAACCCTCATCTCTTATAGAGATTAAAAATTAGCTTCAATGTTAAACAAATAGACAAAATTAGAGTTCAATATAACCAAAGGCGTGATAAAGTTAGCAACAAAAAATGGAAAACTAAAAGATATAAACTTGTCAATAAATTTTTATAAACAAACTTACTTTTTACACTTATAGACGATGGATTCTCATCTTGTTCAACAGGTGAACTTGTTGGTAAAAACTCAGGACAACAAATGTAAAGTTCGGGTTCATCCTCCTGGCAAAAATTAATATCGCTGTCTGTCAGCATACTCATAACTTTGCTGCAAGTACTTATTGGCTGACAAGTACCCTGTAGGCCTCCAATAGAACATTCTGAAATAAAAAAACCCAATTAATTATTTTTATGTCATACTAGTATAGTTTATTATTGTGTTTTTATTGCTTAGTTACAAACTACGTAATAGTGTACTTTATACGAGAGCTTAATTTCCCGACTAGGCACCCCCCACCACCTAAGCTTTTGGGAATGGAACAGTTTGAATTTGACAGTTTGACATTTATGAATTTGTTTGGACTTAACCTAACTTTATTTGATTTCTTATGTTTATATTTGGTGTCTTATTATTATTTTTTTATATAAATGCCTGTAACGTGTAAATATTGTGATAAACTATTTTCAAGACAATTTACTTTAAATAGACACGTCACACAAATTCATTTTAAACAGATTGAACGCATATTTTATGCTAAAAATGTATGGGGTTTTAAATGTTTGGAACTTGATTGTGATAATTCCTTTCAGCAAGGAAAATTTTTAATTAATCATTTGGAAAATGTTCATAATTTAAAGTTTGAAAGTCAAACAATTAATTTTACAAATATGGATGGTAAGTTTTATTTTAATATTTAATTTAGTAGGATATATTTTGTTAAAATATTGTAGAATATTTCTATGTACTTAATAAAATATAATTAAAAATATATAGTAATGGACATTTCCTAATTTAATTTTTTTTTGTTTAAGAATTTATTATTTTGAAACAATCAATGGAAGAAACATCCTGCAGCTTCTATGTTGTGTCTAAATACAAGCAAGATAAAAATATTACGTACTTTAATTGCAATCGGAGCAAAACATGTAAGTAAGACACTTAACCTATGATAACTTCATATTAGATGGATACTATATAATTATTTATAATTTAATTTTTTTTCTTTGTAGCTCGTGATGGAAAGCAAGTATTAAATAAGCAATACAAGCATAAAAATCATGATTATTTCTGTACCGAACAACAATTATCTTTACCCTCACTCAAGAACCGTCGTGACATGTCAGGAGCTATATTTATATATAAGATCATACATGGATTTATTGATTGTCCAAACCTGTTAAGCCAGATTAACTTTAATGTTCCCCATCAAGCTCTACGGTACCACAATGTTTTCAATATTCCTTTCCACAGAACAACCTATGGTATTCACAACCCATGGAATAGATACAAGGGGCTATTAAATGATCGCGATTTTGATATTTTCAATATAACTTTAACTCAGTTAAATTTTGTTCTTGTTATACTTTGTTTGTTTTTTAGTATGTAAGATTTTTAGTCTCATTTTTTTAAACTTTTTAATATTGATTTTATATAGCAATTTCAAGTTTTGAATCCTAACTGTGATATTGTATATTGTAATTTAAACTGTTAATGGGGTTATCCCGTGTATTAAATAAATAAATAGTACACTGACTGTACTATTTAAATAAAAATTAAAATACTTAATTGTTATATACTACATGCATCTTGTATTTATTTCACCTTTCCCTAAATTGGAAACAACTGTAAAATGTTGTGGTACATATACATTGTATACCCTGTATATTATACAGGGTGTTTACAGTCTTGTGATTTTTTTTATAGGTAATAGTTCATCAAAAAATAATGGTATGTCATCTAATAACACAAGAATATTCTTATGAAATTTGGTAAGCATTATTTATGGATTGATTGTACAGCTACTACAAGTTTTGTTATAAGAGATATAAAGAAAATTCGAAAGGTTGTTTTAAATAGAATTTACTTACAAAAAATGGTTTTGGAAATTGCATATTACAGAGGCGTACTGAAATTTTTCTTTAAATTATAAACGACATATCCCGAATCTATGTAACTTATTTAGATTATTACACGGTTCTTATACATGTAGTGGCCATTCAATCTATACGTCATGTACAGCAAATTTCATTTGAATATTCTAATGCGCTAAAGAGATATTACAAAAAAATCTAAATTTTTGGAAACTTCAATGGCCTGTATTTGAGAAAGGAACCAAATTCGATCATCCACTATTCTACAAATACCGTTATTGCTGACAACACCACTTAAAAATAAAATCGCAAGACTGTAAACACAGTCTATACATTGTAATATTTTCTTCTAAAAAATATGACTATTTACCTCATATCTGTTCTGTACAAGCGTAAACGAAGTATATTATACCAATCATTATTATATTGGAAATTTTTTTAAGTTTTTTTACAAACTAAAATAATAATGAAATGATTAAATGTAGCAGGTGTTATTATTTACAGTTTTCTAAATAAAAATTATTATTAAAAAATTAAATTAGTATTTATAATTAATTCTGTAAAAAATATAGATATAGATTGTGTTACCAAAGTATGTATAGGAATAAAAAAAACAAAAGTTTAATACAATAAGGACCGATTGTTCGAACGCTAATTAAAACTCAAATATTTAATTAAAATCAAATAGGAAACATTTTGAGGTTATGTTGACTGATTTATTCAATTGTATGATTTTGCTTTTTAATTTAAAATAAACCATAATTAAACTCTTTCTGATGTTAATTTCATGTTTTTATTTACAAATCAATAATAATAATAAGCAATTTTGACAACAGCTTTGATGTATTTGCAAATTCAAGTTTTGATTAGCGTTCGAACTACCGGTCCTAATTGATACCATATATTTCAAACTTCCCGCCATTCGTTAAATCCGTGCACATATAAACAGTAGTGGGGGGTGCTGAGTCGGGAAATTAAGCTCTCGTGTACTCTATGCCCACGCGGGCGTAAAGATACAAGCAAAAAGATAACTTATTACAAACATCTTTATTTAACAACATTTCAAATTGGCAATGTTAATATTCATATTTACGATTAAAGTTTTCTTTACCATTGAATATTTGGACCACAGGGAACTCAGAGAAATCGTGTCGGCGAGATCGGCAAAGTATACAAGTACCACAGTTTCACTAATGTGTTTTACATGGTTTTCTGTCCTCCAGTGCTGTAATTTTTTATATTCCTTGTCGTAGTCATCTTTCGACTTATGTGGTAGTAACTTTTGCGTTGCCTCTTCCACTTTTTTTTAAATTTTGTTAGGGATCTCAAAAACACTGACAAACACGACACTTTTGACAGCGTTCATTTCACCGGCAGCAGTCAAGAAGCTCGCAGTGGTAACTTCATTATACTTTTAAATTACTAAATTTTTAATTAATCATTTGAATAATGCTACCTAAAGTCAAAATGAAATCTTAATTATTGATTTACTGTTGGAAGTGTATCTTAGATCTTTTAGTTCTTCTGCACATTAATTGTGTGTTTTTATATAATTTTTTACATAAAATTTTTTTACATACATGTACAACTACCACATGTCTTTTGCTGTGCTAATTTTATGAAAATTGTTAACTATATTTAGTTCAATTTATTGTTTATACAACATAATTATACAATGTCCATTGTCGTAACCTTCTTTACAATTGTAATATCATTGACTGCTACATATCTTTTTGAGGTAAAGTACTTTATAACTTTTCATTGGATGTTAGGTTTTTCATATTGTTCTTTTTAGATGAACTGATGATGCTATCAAATTGGATAGCAAAACGTTTTCAATAAATAGATGAAGTAGCCATCATCTTTATCTTTTTTTCTCCAACTTTTGACCGAAAAACCCGCCGCTCTTCGGGTGATCCTTATTTTATATATATATATATATATATATATATATATATATATATATATATATATATATATATATATATATACTTCTAGCGGTTAATGTGGGCTCCGTACTAAAACGGTATTATACTAACTCCAGGAGAATATACGCCGTGTATATTATTATCTGAGTAGCGCTTTATGTAGACTCCGACCAACACGTCGGATCAAGTGGACTCCGTAACTGGATAAAACATTTTTGGGATCCGTATACAGCTTTTAGCGTACACAACTAAGCTCCTGCGATGTTGCCAGTAGTTGTATTAGTCGTAGATTTTCAAATTTTAGAGCAGGTACATTTTAGAACTTAAAATTTATTTAAATATCCACCAGGTTAGTCATCGAGGAATTCCAAGAATATTTGGCTACTGTTTTTAAATATATTATAATATAAATTGTTAATATAATTTTATTTTATTTTTATGTTTAATAAGCACTTTGGATAATTTAAATTACTTGCTCTAATTATTTTCAAACTTTAGTATCCATTATAAACTTATTAATGCTAATATATAGCATTATTTTATAGCATTCTAATATTTTAGCTATGGATTAAATCCGAATAGCTTTTTGATATTACTTTACTTTCTCGGAGACATTATATTGTAACACAAGGATCTTATTAAATTACCAAAACCTTCCTTTCATATTTTATTCACTTATAAGGGGCAGCACTAACATCAGTAAGATAATAAGGCGTACCTATAGTTCTGGGCAGCTTAATAGAAAACTTGAATGTAGCAATTTTATTGGTTTCGGGACTGCTAACTGGATTGGGGAAGCAGGATATCAGCATTAAGTTAATGCATATAGGAATTGTTGCTTGACGGTTGAAATATCAAATACCAGAAGGTACGACGGTACCAGTCTGAGAAAGCAAAGCAAAACAACTTAACTATTATTAGACAATATCATATTTCCTAATAAACTAATATTCACTTTATAACGAGACAAAAAGATATCGAAACAGTATGTACATACCAACGGGTTTCCTATGTCGGCATCCAGCAAAATTGTTGTAATATTGATACGGGAAACAAAACCTTGAGAGAGAAATTGGCCCAAGAAACTCTGCCTTAATAAACAGTCGAATAAAATACAGATTCTCGATTTAAATAGTCAAAAAATTAAAGAACAATTTATTAAAATAGAAACAGCGCCAATTTACGATGTAATCCATTAACGGCCCAAGGTACAAAGCAGCTCCTAGTTATGCTGATGATTACATCTATAAATATGTCAACGACATACTGAACAAAGTCCAGAGAGCATGAAAAAAGTTTCAAGTAAAATCAACGAAGTGAAAACCAAATACCAGCGCATAAACATAAGAGACCGTCAGTAA